CTGACATTGAACCCAGCCAGTCAGAACGGAGGGTGTTTTGCTGGCAAGGGTAGCGGCTGCGCTCCGACACCATCAGCAAGGGGACAGGAGAGGGGAGGGGAAAGGGAAAAAGCCGAAGCAGCAGCCAGACAGCTGCCTCTTCCTCCTCCTCCTTTTGTGCAGAAACGTGGTTTTGTTTGTCAGTCAAGCAGATTGTTTTCTCCTTCTTTGCAGGCCAATTGTTTCTGCTCCTGCAAGATAAGGGATTGAAAAGGGCTATATTTTTATGGCACAGAACCTAGGCCCTCTGAATCAGAGGGGAGACATCAAGTGGGAGAAGGATTCATGTTCAAACCAGCGCTCCTCTCCCCAGTTCCACTCTCCAATCCTATTTCCACCCCCATTTTCCTTTTTTCTCCTTCCTTCTCCCGCCTGGAGCTGCCTCTCAGCCCTCTCGCTGTTTAATCTCCATCTCTCTGGTGGACTCAGGAGGTTTATACAGCATCGTCCTCCCTGCACCATCTGCTGAAAAGAATCTGTCTTTCCCCCTGCCGCTCTGTCTGGAGGGCTCCTCCTGTTATCCTATCCCCCAAAAAGAGGGGAGCAGAGCCGGTGCCACCACACGGGTACATCCAGATGAACAAAACCCAGGAGGGGGGCTCGTTTCCTATGAAGGTTTTGCCCAGAAAGCATCTTGACAGAGCTGGAGCTCAGTGCCAGATAAGACAGCAGGTTCCTCTTCTTGCTTCTAGAGTGGGTTCAAGGAGCTCAGTGCCCAGCTTTCTTCCTTTCTCCTGTTGGACTCCCCCAAATCCACAATCCAGACGCGATGACACGGTGATAGAGCCGCTGGAGTGACGACCGCTGAATGATCACAGCATCATATTCACGCCATCGGAGCAGGTCTCCAAGCCAGCTGACCTGGAGAAGGTCCTCACTCCAGTGACCAGCAGGGCAACTGGGGAAGCCCTTATCCCAATCATTCCTCCTTTGCTCCTGGGTCCTGATCGCATCATGCTCCGCTGCTCAGCGCCGAGGACCAGAGGGAGGATTTGCCTCCCCTCCTCAGGGGATGAGAGCCTTGGGAGGGGGGCAGCGTGGTTCATATCCAGCTCATAAGCCTCTCAGAGCTCAGGCTCGAGGACTGAGATTCACTCAATTAATTTTGCTTTGGCAAAAAGTCCATTTTTATTGCTATTTCATGCCTTCAGTATAGATTTTCCCTGCTCGTCTCAAAGGGATAATAAAACCCGGCTCGTTCTTTTTATAAAAGTCTCACACTCCCTCTCTCAGCAGGCTCTGTGTTCCCCTGCTAGAGATGTAAATTTAAAGGGGAAATGCTGTCATTTAAAACAAAACAAAACCAAAAAAAGCAACTCAGAAAGCCCAGCTTTGAGCATATTCCAGCTCGCAAAACTAGGCCACGCAACACAAGCAGGAACCAAGCGGACGCCTCCCCGCAGCGATGCTCACCCTCCCGCTGGGGACCAGGGGTGACCACCAGCCCTGGGAAGCTCCTCTCTGTCTTGCATGGATGGTGCTGGCCCTTGGCTTTATGGGATGTGGAGGTTTTACTGGCTGGGGGATGCTTGAAGCCGGCTCTAAGCAGTTGGCTGTGACACCAGCACCCCAGCATCTGCCTCACTTCTCCTCCTTCTCTCCTTTTCCTCCTCCTCTACTTCTCCTCTTCCTCCTCCTCCGTATCAGATCCGGGGTGGAAGCCATCCCCAGGCAGCTCCGGAGGGAAATCCTAAATCCACACGATGCCAAGCAGGTGGATTTTGAGCGTGTTTCCAAGCAGGCCATGGGACAAGATGATGGCAGGATGATGGATGGGTCTGCCTGCTCCACCCCAGCTTGGATGCATCCTGCCTGGTCTTCAGAAGGGATGTAGCTTTGGAGCATCCCTCTGAGAGGTGAAAAAGGGAAAGGGAAATGGCCCTTCCTCTGCCTCGTGCCCAGCTGCAGGGAACAGGATGCGAAGCGGAAGCATCCCTGGAAGTCTGTCATTAGTGAGTGGCAGCAATCGCCTGGGGACAGGGTGGTTTTTACCAGCACCACTGTTTTTAAGAGCAGGTTAGATCCAGGTATCCGCCTGGCCCTGCAGATCCAGACCCTTAGGATGGATTCAAGACAGTTTCCTCCAGCCTGGCCACGTGTCTGACTCGGTGACACGCACAAATCCACCGTCACAAGGACTCTCCCTGCCCCAACGGAAACCAGGAGCAACCCCAAAGCAAGGCAAGAAGAGACATGCACTCGGTGCTCAGCCCTGTGCCATGGGACCAGGCCGAAGGGGGACAGCCAAACCCTTCCTGTGCAAATGCTTCTCCTTCTCCCCATCCTTTCCCTTTTGATGCACGACGCAGAACTCAAAGCCCTGCCTGTATCCGGCGGGGTAGCAGTGCCCATGGCAAGAGGAAACCCACAGCTCGCTCTGTTCCTGCAGGTGTGCCTTTAACTGACAGCAGTTTTAGGGCAACTCGTGCTGGGATGGTCAGGAGAGGAAAGATGAGGGTGAGGAACCCCCCTGGGTGATACCAGGCCCCTTGGTTAACTGATAGCCCATCACCTCCATGCACAGCTCGGGGTGGCCCCATCAGTTACACCGACGTTGAGCCATTTCCTCTGATGATGGCAGAACAAACCCTCCTTCCCCAGCACTAGCTGCAGAGCCTGAGGGATGCCTCACAACACAGTTCTGCATCCCCCCGCCTCCCATTTTGAGAGGAATCCCTTGGGGTTCCTAGATTTTCCTATAGAGCCTTCACAAGACTCACCCCTCCAGGCTGGAAAATCCTTTAGCAAGCTGTGCCAACCTCTGCAGCTCAGGCAGAGGCGAGAGATGATTAAGACTGGCTGAAACCTCACGGGACTCCGACATGCGAGAGGCCCTCTGCAAGCCAGAATAAAAACCCTGGGCTGCTCTTTGCAACCTGCACCTCCCTTCACCTTAGCAGGGGGCCGAAGGGAGAGCAGGGACCGAGGGAGGCCAGGAACCAGGTCACTGCCGCTGGTTTCTAGGCAGCAAACGTTTGGAAGAGCAGAGGATCATTTAGCAGAGCGACAGGGAAGGTTCAGAGCAGAGCCTTCAAATTACACGCTACAGAGCACTTTTCCTGCCTAAAAGGTCTCTGAAATGACTGTGGCGGCTCTGAAACGAAGCACTCTGTATGCAATTGTTCCCTGGGGCTTGCAGAGGAGACAGAGCCGGCAGAGGAGAGGTGGGTCTGCGGTGCCCAGCATGAGGATACGCACTCCTGGATGCTCCCCAGCACCAAACCGTGCCGCTTCCCTGCACACACACACCCCCCCCCCCGGGCCTTTCGACCAGGCACAGTCTTTATTTGTGCTTTCCGTGTGTGTTTCTCACTTCCTGCCTTGAACTTCACACAGCTCCCAAGCTGCAGAGCTGCTGCTCAGCATGCGGGTGTCCCCAGCACAGCCTCCGAGCCCACACTGAACCATCGCCGTGCCTCGATCCCACAGGGAACGGGGAGGGAAGAGCACTCGGGGGGAACGCATCCTTGGCTTCTTCCCATCTTTCTCTCCTCCATCCCCCAGCAGCTCGAGGTCCATTTTCATCAGCTGGTGACAGCCACCAGGAGATGGGCTCTCATCACCGGCTGCGCATCCGACCGCAGCACACACAGCCAGCCCTGTGGGTCGTCCCCCCACCTTCTCCCAGCAACAGCACCCACATCCATAGAGCCATTACGGCGCTGCTCACCCATCTGGCCACCACAAGCTGCCACCCTAGGGAACACACACACTGCAGAGAACCATCCGTGGGCCCTCAAGGGTGCCCACAAGCTGGGGCTGAGCCCTCAGAAGGTGCCGGTACCCCCAGAGATGCCTTCCCTGCACTCTCCCATGCAAACCCCACACCGTTGTGTTTGCTCCTCCAAACCATCACTTTGGGAGGTCACCTGAGGGCAGCCAGCCCTGGCACCACTCCACACACAGCCAAGGGGACAGCAAGCAGGAACCGGTGGCCACAAGAGCTTCTGTCACGTCTAAGGGATGGCACCGAGCTCCATCAGAGGCGATGGGGATCAAACCCCAACATCTCCCCGCTCTGACGCCAACAAAACCCCCTGGGGATGCCAACCCCTGGGCTGGGGGATGCAGCATCTCCATTGGGACGTTGGGATTCCCATGGTGCTGCGGCTGCTGTTGTTTCCAGGGGGTGGTGGGAATGGGGGACACACACACATTGGAATTCTGCTGGAATTCAGCAGCTGCAGCACAGCTTCGGGAGGCTCCTGGCTCCCAAGCCCGGCTTATCCATGGGGGGGGGGGGGTTAGATCCAACGAGTGCCCCTCTTTCCATCCCCACACATGGGGTGCGCACACCGGGGGGGCCCCTCGCTGAACCCCGTGACGTCACCGGGATGGGGTGGTCGAGCGGGGGGGGGGGGGGTACACACGGACACATACACGGCACCGAAGGGGGGGGGGGCGGGAGACGGACACGGAGCCGGGGACGGGCTCTGGTTGCAAATGGGAGCGCGGGGGGAACGCGGCGCTGGGCAGAGGGAGGGAAGGGAAGAAGGGAAGGGAAGGGAAGGGAAGGGAAGGGAAGGGAAGGGAAGGGAAGGGAAGGGAAGGGAAGGGAAGGGAAGAAGGAAGGGAAGGGAAGAAGGGAAGGAAGGGAAGGGAAGAGGGAAAGGAAGGGAAGGGAAGAGGGAAAGGAAGGGAAGAAGGGAAGATGCCGGCAGCGCGGCGGCGAAGCGGGGCCGCCACCGGCGCTCCGCAGCAGGAACGCAGCGGGCTCCGAGGGAGCTGCGGCCGCCGCCGTTGCGACGCGAAGCAGGCGGGGAGGCAACGCGGGCTGAGCACAGCCCCCCCCCCACCCCGCACACACAAGCGGGGCACCGAGGGCTCCCCCCATGTCCCCCCCGGTCCCCGTCCCCCCCCCAAACCCCGCTCGCACGCAGCCACCGGCCTCCCCCCCCCCGCCACCCCGGGGCCCGCCTCAGGCGCGGCCCGCCCGGAGCCGTTACCCGGCGCTCTCTTACCTGTGCGGCCGGGCCCCGCTGCTGTCTCAGCGGCGGCGCTGGGCGGGGGGGGCCCCGGCGGCCATCCCCGGGCGGCCCCGCCGCTCTCGGCCGCGCCGTGCAGCCGCCTCGGCGGTGTCAGCGGGCGGGAGCCCCGCGCGGCGCCGGGAGGGAGGGGAAGAAAGTCGGGGGCATGACCGAGCGCCGTCGGAAGTGCACGCGCGCCCGGGGGCCCTGCCCGCGACGGCGGCGACACCTGCCGGCCGCGCCCGAGCACTGCCGGGGAGAGCCGAGCGCCGCCGGAAACTACCGAGCGGTGCCGAGCGCCACCGGGACCCCCGCGTGTGGCTGGGGACCGGGCACGCAGCGATGGGCAGCGGTAGCGGGGTCAGGGCAGGGTGGTGGGCACCGGAGTGAGGTCCCGGGCTCCGTGGGTGGGGTGGGGACCGGGAATGGGTCAGGACTTAGATGTGGGTTGGAGGGACGCTGGGTCAGGGTGGGAGGGCATGGTGGGGGGTCTGCGCTTGGACATGGGTCCGGGTTAGGAGTAGGGTTTGGATCCACTTTGGATCAGGGTTGGAGCTCATGTGTGTCTGTGCTTCAGTCTGGGTTTGGGTTTAGACTAGGATTTGGATCCATGCTGGGTCAGGGTGGGAGGCCATGTATGTCTGTGCTTGGATCTGGGTCTGGTTTTAGACTAGGATTTGGATCCACGCTGGATCAGGGATGGAGCCCATGTGGGTCTGTGCTTGGATCTGGGTCCGGGTTAAAAGCAGGATTTTGGTCCACATTGGATCAGGGTTTGAGCCCATGCGGGTCTGTGCTTGAATCCGGGTCTGGATTTAGATCAGGATTTGGATCCACATGGATTCAGGGTTGGAGCCCATGCGGGTCTGCGCTTGGATATGGGTCTGGGTTTAGACCAGGATTTGGATCCATGCAGGGTCAGGGTGGGAGGCCATGTGAGTCTGCACTTGGATCTGGGTCTGGCTTAAGGGCAGGATTTGGATCCACATTGGATCAGGGTCGGATCCCGTGTGGGTCTGAGTTTGGATCTGAGTCTGCATTTAGACCAGGATTTGGATGGGGATTGGGACCCACATCTGGATTTGCATTTGGAGCTGGATTCAGATCCTCCTCTGGATCTGCGTTTCCATCTCCATCTGGAACGCGCATCCTTTGCAAAGGATGGAGGTGGCACATCCGAACCCGCAGCAGCCCCATTGGGTGCACAGAGCACTCCATCCCAAGGGTGCTCCCTGCTCACCCTGCCCCGGGGCAGCATGGGGAGCACTGGAATCTGCAGCAGCCATGGCCGGAGCTCCGGATCCAAACCATGGGAGGGACAAAATGGCAGCGATCCTGCTGGTTCCTTGGCTGTTGCTCAGCTCTGGGGCTGAACGTGCTCCAAGGAGGAGCTGAGGTCAGGGAGGGGGATGAGTGCAGGAAACACATTAAGCGAGGAAAATTGGCTGCAGCCGATGCTGCCTGATGCTTGCTTGGGTTTTTCCTCTCCATCAGGTACTTGATAGAAGCCCTTGCTGTGGCTGCTTAACCGCTCGCATCTCAGGTGTGCCACCAGCACCGAGAGGGGTGGTACCCAGGGCCCCTCCTTTCCTTGTGTCCCCAGCGCTAACACCATGGCGATGCGTGCGAGTCAGGGAGCTGGAACCAGCTGAGCTTTAGGGTCCCTTCCAACCCAAACCATTCCATGATTCAGGGCTCTCCCGGCCCGCCTGCTAATCCATAATCCTGTTTTCCTATGGAAAGAAAAAGCCTCTCTCTTATTCCCAAACGTGAGAGCCAAAGCGAAACTGGGCGGAAGCGCCCTGTTTGCAGAACACCCTGTGAAACGCACAAAGGAAACGGAACGAAAACAGCGTTTTGCACGTTTTTCACCCTCGTTTTAGCTGGCCCTTGGAAAGCTTTCCCAGCAGGATGTGCGCAGCGGGAGGGGAATGCTTTGGAGCCGCTGGTGTCCCTTTGGATCGGGGCCACCTGCCTGCGAGGGACAGCAAAACCCCTGCGCATCCCTGCTTTGTCAGGTCCCTTGGGAGGATGTCCCCCATGGGGGCCAGCCAGGCGGGAATGGCGGATGATGACAGCAGGAAATACCTGCTGCTCCAGCGCTTCCCGGCCAAGGAAAACAAGGAGTGTGTTGGGAGGGCTGCAGGAGGAGCCTCCGAGGGACACACGGGCCATTGTTCCTTGTGGAAAGTCGGGTGGGCCCGTTGTGTGACACCGATCCCGTGAGCAGGATGCAGGAGCGGGTCGGGATGGGAATGCACTAATTCCATGGCCCGTGTTGCTCCTCACAGCTGGAGCATGGCAAGGACTTTTAGCCTTTGCAGAGCTCTTAATGCTGTTGTAGCACTGTGGAAGCTGTCTGTCCATCCACACCCCACACCCCCCCCCCGCCTCGCAGTAACCTGGAAAGGCATTTAATGCGGTCTGGTTTTGATCCATTCCTTTAAGCGCTTCCTTGTGTTTTCCTTTCCTTCCTTGCTTTTACCACCAACGCTCCCCCATTCCGCTCCAAAGGAAGAAAAAGACGTGCAGGATATGCCCAGCCTTGCAAATCCCTAATTACCTTCCACTCCTCCTAGCAAACACGCTTCCCTCCGAGCAGCGCTGCTGTCAGCAGGGATGGGTTGCAGGCTCTTCCCAAAGCGGAGGGGATTTGGGGGAGAGGAGGAGAGAAGGGAACGTGCTGCTCTCATTCCCGGCCTCCGCGCTTTGCCCTTTCTCAGGAACAGGCCAGATTGTTTCCATTAGGAGAAGCTGAGGATCCAAGTATTTGTCAATGGCCAGGAGAGGATTTGCTGATCGTCGCTGCCGTTCCCTAGGATAATGTCGGGCGAGGTGCTTGGCATCCTTTTATGGTAAAATGCGGGATCAACATTCCCTGGCTTCCCGTCGGAAGCTGATTGATACGTGGCATTAATGCACACATGGATCATTCTGTATTTCGAGACTGCTGAACAAGGAATAATTGTGATTCGGGGTCAAAGAGAAGGGCATTGTATGGTGATGAAATACACCGGGGGGGTGATTCGTGTCACAGGCAGCACGTTCCTCTTCGCTGGGGACACTGGTGGCAGCCCTGCGTTAGCCGTTCCTGCCCTGCTTTTAAGTGCATTGGGTGCATGCCTGATGCAGGACGCCAGGACATGGTTCCAGCTTTCTGAGCTTTGGAGTTTCCTATGACAAAACAAGAAGGAACCTCTGGTTTAGGTCTGTTTCTTTATTTCCCTGCATGCAGAAGGCTGTGCTGTTGGCAAACATTAACTGCATAGAGCAGTGCAGCTTGATGGTTATGGGGAAGTGAGGGCAGAGTGTCACCAAGCTGGTGATGCTGTTCCAACCTACCTCTGGCAACCTGGACCAGAGCATCCAGCAGCATCCCGGCTCTCCCAGTTGGTCCCTGCTCTTGTGCCAGCTCCCATGGTACATCCCAGGGTCACACTGGGAAGTGCTCCTTCAGGTTTCCTGACCTCTTCGGGTTGCTGTGTGCTGAATGCTTCCATCCGGAGCACTTGGGCTGTTTCAGCAGGGACAGGCAGCAGGACATGGTGCTGTTCACAAGGTAAAGGGATCTCTAATGAGAGGGAACCATGACATTTATCAGGCAGTTGGTGTGACCCTCAGGTGCAGATAACTCAGCAAAAGCCCCAGGACATTTACATGGAAGAGATGGGAAATGATCAGAGATATGAAGTGAACCCCATAGCATCACTTCCTGATGATGCTACGGTCCCAGGGCCACCACAGCCAACAGCACAGGGGCTGCAGGACAAACCCCCTTCCTTGCCACCAAAGCAGGAGGTGGGAGGGAAAAAGGAAGGGGAAGGAGGAAGGAACAGAGCTGAGAAGCAAAATAAGCTGTGCTACAGTCACTTGTGCTTGAGGCCATCCCTGCTGTGTGGTGAGTGGCTTTTTCCAGGCCTGGCAGGAGAAGCCTGGAGGGATGGGAAGGGAAAGAGGGGTGAGAGAAGGAAGGAGATGGTCCAAACCAACGTGTATTCGAGCCTCAATAGGTTTCAGAGGCTGCAGCGTGTTATGGGGATGAAAGCTGCCCTGGGGCCCCTCCCAGCAAGCAGCAGCGCTGTGAGTAAGCTGCAGGCGCTGTGTTTGTCTGGCTGTCGACTTCCTTGTTACACTGAAAACGGTGTTAAATATACAGCTATATAATGGGAACAAGGCAAAACCCTACAACACCAACAAAATATAGCACCAGCCGCCCTCCACCCCCCGTCTCCATCACCCAACAACAACCAAGAAAGGCAAGATCTTTCACAAGCCCGGAAGATGTCACCATAGAAACAGGAATCAGCCCCACTCCAAGGATCCTGCCGCCTGGGAAGGTGATAAAATGTTTTCTATCGATTGCTGTCGGGAAAGTCACTGCTGATAAGCCATCCGAGGGGAAATGGAGCGGGGATGTAGGGATGCGGGAGCTCCTCAGACGAGCTGCCAGATGGTCCCTCAGCTGCCCCCTCGGCTGAGGGACCGTGCACTGGGGATGGATGCTCTGCCCCAGGCTGGTGCCAGTGTAGGTGTGCAAAAGAGGAGGTGTGTTTCGTGCCTTTGGTGTGGGGATGTGTGCACGCCCTGGTTGTTAGAAGCGTGAAGCAGAGAGCAGCCCGCTGTCTGCTCTCACAGCTTTCCTTTTCCTACTGGAAAACGCACCGTGATGGAGGCAGCTGAACTTCCCCTTGGCTTCTGGAGTGGCATCACCAGGGTTTAGCATCCTCTTGCCTTCCCTTGGGAGCAATGGTGCCCAGCAGCCTTGTGCCCTCACAAGCATCATGTCCCCCGGTCCCTATTTGCCTGCAGGGATGCGCTGCAGCTTGGAGCATTCCTGTGGCTGCGGTGGGATGTTCCCGGCAGCTCTTCCCAGGGCATTGCAACGCTCTTCTGGCTCGCACGCACTTTGAAGAGATGGAAAATCCTATTATCTGCTCATTCTTCTCGCAGTGTGAAGCCTCAGAGCGTTCAGCAGCATCCAAGTGTGGTCCTGCTGCCTGCAGCTCCACGCTGCCTCTGCTCCCACTCAGGTCTCCAGGTCAGTATGGATGGGCATCACCTTCACATCCCTTAATCCGTGCCAGAGCCTGGGGTTGCAGCTCCCCCACAGTACCATCTGCAGCAGTGGAGTGCAAGGGGGTGGGTGTGCA